CTCGTTACAATGTTAATGAATTAGAAATGAAACAGCGTAATTTAAGGATACCTGTCTAAATTTGTGCAGCTGCAACCCAGTAAAAATGTTGGACGTTAATTTTTCTTGAAGATACCGTAAATGTACTTGTTATTGCATTTTTGGCACCAAGTACACAGAGACTCAGTAAGATATTGGATACTCGAGCATCCTCAGCAATCTAGAAAGGAGATGTTATTAAGCTTTTATCTGGAAAATATAACGCTTCACTTTATTCGATTCTCCCATATAACATGACAAGATATTACGTTTATACTAGAAACTTCCAGGTACCTACCCCTTCTTTGAAATTAGTTTGATATCATTAACTTATTGTTTGTTCGAGGGCTTTTTAATCTTTTTTTTTATCAATAATATGTGATTATTACTAAGTTAATTTATATTCTAATTTATTTGTTTTCTAACTAATTGCATATACGAGTATATATTCTCAACTTAATCAATTACTACCTGAATACGTTTCAACATATATAATATTGTTATAGTATCAATAAATTATGATTCATAAATATGTTCTTGTTTAGTTACACTTACATTGCAATTTAATCTTTGATAATTTGTGCAAAATAATTTTAAACCCATATGGATTATACATCATATCTAGTAATATTCGTTCATTACTGAATGAACATAACTGAATATAATATGTCATAAATCATTCTGTCGATCTATCATAAGAAACCGATGACACGCATAACTTACACATAAAATCTCAAACCATCCTTTAAAGTTTTTGCCATTCATCATTGCAACCAAAACGATGTTATAATGAACGCCAGGACTTTTAAAGACTGTGAATTAGACTGAGGACTGTTTTTACCTAACAACGGTTTTCTATAAGAAAACTACCTAAGCATGAGAGATAGATAGAGAAATGGATAACTCTTTATTGTACAACATAAACATAATAGTAACACAGATCTTGTCTACCTTTTAGGAGTTTGTTGAGCTTAAATGTAGTTTATACTGCTTTCGTTCGTACTTTACTGGAATATGCTTGTCAGATATGGTCTTCCTGTTATGCAAAACACAAAAAACAGTCTTGAAAGCATCCAGAAGAAGTTTATCGATCACCTCAATTTTAAATTTCGTCACTGCTTATATGATTACAAAGAGAATTGTCGTATTTACAATCTCTTAACTCTTGAAGAGAGGCGGGTCCTGATCGATATGAGGTTACTATATGACATTTTAGGAGGACGGATCGATTGTCCTATCCTTTTGAATAATATTAAGTTTAATGTTCCCAAGAAACGCACTCGACACACTTCATTATTTTGCACTCCATTTCACTCGACTAATTACATTAAAAGTACTGTAATATCAGATTTACTTGACTCTTACAATAAACACTTAAATAGTGTGGACATATTCACCGGTTCCAAGGACAATTTCAGAAAACGAGTTTTGCTTAAATTACCATCTAGCACATTTAAAATCTCAACATTATTGCACTAAATGATTGGTTAGGTTATTTAGAAAATAGGAAGTTTCTAATGTATTTATGTAATTTAATTATTTGTTCATATTTATATATTTTTAAATGTTACTTATTTATAATCTCAGTTATTTATTATATGTCATATATTATATTTAAAATCAATATACTTATCAATATACAATATACATCTCTTAAAAGTTTGCACATCAGCTTAAATATTATGTATTGTTTTTAACATATTTACCGTGGATAACTATTATTGGCTACTCATGTAATCATAGTTAAATACCTAGTTAAGAGTTGCAGCTGTTGTTATCCCTAAAAATAAATGATCCATAATGAAATGTGCTGTTTAGTGCCACGAGTACAACTTCTTGGTCATTTTCACGTAGATGTGTTCTCAGGCTTATTTACGTCACGCTTTTTATTTACAAGTTGAAGGCTACATTACATAGGAAGTATTAAAAATACAAGTAATAATACACTCTGATATGTTTGACTCATAAATTTCCAAAATACTTTAAGTTACTTAAAGAACTTATTTTTTTGGGTATTCAGTGACGAAAATTAGTTTATTTGTTTTACTAACAGAGAACAGTTTAACCAACCTTGTTAATAACTAAGTTTAAAGTGGTCAAAATGTATTCTTATACTTATTATTGGAAATAAGAAAAATACCTTACAATTAAAACAATTATTCATTCAACCAATTTATATTAAAGTATGCCATGCCAGTGAAACGTTAATTTGTATCACTTGATGTAGCAGTCCATTTTCTAAATCAAACGAAAATCTATTAGTGAATTGTGAGCATTGCAAGAGTCAAAATTGTTTTTTTATATTGCTCTTTTCTGTTTGATGATACAGTAAGCGTAATCATATATTCGAGCAACATTTGACTCATTTCGTTAGTAACAATACATTTTCTTTCAAACTATGTTAATCTATATCTATTACATTATGTACGTATGTGAATCCCTACCACAACTTTACAACCGAGGTTGAAAGCCTGCAGCAGCTCAAGCTTGCTGGCAATGCAACGTAAAATGATGCTAGGGCTGGCTCGCACACAGCGCACCAGGGATGCGCATCTCTTAAGCATCGCGGTATAAAAACTACATCCCTGATGCACTGCAATACCGGGGCAGCCCTATAAACGCCTGTAACGCGTCTTTATATTGTATCCGAAAGGCGTTGTACGATTTTTTCGAGTGACTTACCCACTGGCTGCACGTGTAGAACGATAAAATTCTGAGATAAGCATGTGCGCAGAAATCAGCAGACTTTTATTTTTTGTTATTGATCGTAAACTATATTTTGATGTTATCGCAGCTGGTGATAAGGCGGAAGGATCAATGACAGTTTGGCCAAATTTGGGTTTCCATTTAGTTTTTCTTGGCAAAAACTGACTTCCTCTATCGTTTCCAAGGCGTTCTTTTGGTTCTGTCGTCTAACTTAACTGAATAAATGAATTAAACGGGAGACTCTTTGTTTAGTGGCAGAACTTTACCTTTACTTTTTCCTTCGAAAAGGAAGGATCATTTTTATTTATCTCTTTTCGTACGCTGCCTTTCCTTATGTTGCTCCAAAATTTCTTCATTTGTGCGCTTATTAGTTTTTGCCATGCTATTAAAATATTTATAAATTATTTAAGCATTAAAGGATATCTAACAAGCGTGTAAGGGTGTCAAACATTGTTACAATTTTTCAGGCCAAGTCGTAATATTAAATGTAATAATCATATGGAGTTTAGTTTAAATTATATTGATCAAACACAAAAATTATGCATCCTCAAAATAACTATGCTTTTCATAATTTAAAATTTGCCATTACTTACTACAAAACTTTATTTTTTAATTTATATTCAAACACACATTTTCACAAAAATTATAGACTGATTTTTTATATGCCTTCTCTACTTTCTTTTTTTTCATGATACTTGAAAAATACTAGATTTTATCTTAATTTTAGTAATGTAGATACATTATTAGAGTTTGTACATTATAATTTTCAACCCTTCTTATCGTGATGAAAATTAGGTGTCGTAAACTAGGGAAACGAAGAATTTGTTGTTATTTTTATAAGCAAGCTGCAGTATTTATCTTCTAAATATATTATCTCAAATTAAGAATAATTGTTCATTTTAAAACTTTCATTCGATTCTGGGTAAAGGACAGGAAATAAAAATTAGAAAAACGACTTTTGAAAAAATATTGACCAACGACTATTGGTCCCACAGGCATATATATTGTGCCTAGGGGCTAAGTATTAGAACTAATACCGAAAAAATTAGGAGTCCTCAAGGTAGCAGTATAACTAGATATTTATCAGAACATCCAAAATTTGGATCCAATGAGAATGATAGAAGTAATTTAATATTTGTTTATGTGCAGTCAAAGGCCATGGTCATGAGTCACATGCAGTCATGAGTCTCAGAATAGATTTTAAAAATTTATACATTGTTGTTGTTAGTTGATTTATATTTTTACACGCTTTATATTAGCTTCACTTGTATGTTTGTTTGTATGTTTATAACTGACTCCTTTGGGCGTGATTTTGACTGACTTTAAACGGTCAGAATTCGTTTAAACTTTGTAGATATATCGAGGACCGATGACAATACACTAACTTAAAAAAATAAAAAATATAGTTTTAAAAAACTAAAAACCACGCTTTCTATAGAAAACCAAACTAAAAAATTGAAAATAAATTTGAAAAAAAAAGCGTTGGGTGCCTGTTGGCAATAGTAAAAAGCACCCCACTTTTTTTCTGTAGAGGTTTTCTATAGAAAGCGTGTTTTTTATGGATCCATGACACTTCCACATTTATAGAGTAGGTGAGTTATTCTAGTTATCAAAAATTGGGGATAGTGAACTTGAATCCAACGCTGCCTGGAATTGAGATGCCATAAAAGAATGTGAGCTTTAGAATCACTCGATAACGTCTAATCTTGTTCGCCCATGCATCAACTTTCTGCTTTAGAAATTCTATGCTGTCTGTGACACATAACTCTTTTTGAGGATTAAATATTGAATAAATATAAATTTATAAGGTAGATCATAGATCCTGGTTTTGTAAATAGTTTGTTGTAGAGTATCTATACGAACGTATGCACTTTTATTGTTTTCTGACCCAGGTGGTAATTCTTTTCTTTTTGGTATACAAATTTCATGTCGTTTGTGCTCAAGAATAATATCGCGTTTGTATAAATCTAACGTTTTTTATTAAAATATTTTATATTAATGATAGGTCCCAAAAAAGGCTGTTTTGATTGATACAGTATTGGTTACAGCAGTACGACATTCAATTCTATACTGGCACAGTAAGTCGATTAGTAGGTAGTATTTTAGATAATATAATACGTCATTTTATATGAAGTATTTATTTTATCTGCCATTGTCATTATATATATTGTCATTGCTAGGAAAAGAATTAAATGAAATAACAAATGAATATATTTTAGTGTTTTATCACATGAGAAAATTATATTAATTTAACATGCGCTACAAAGATCGAAACAATGGTTTTTTTTTGTTATAAGACGTCAGGCAATGATAAAATCTAATACGTAGGATAAAAATGCATATATATAAATGAATATAAAGGGGTCAGAATACAATTTCAATCATACAAGTAAAGTGTTCGCTAGGTGAGTACAAGAAAATAATATTCAAATTATTTTACAAAAATCGTTTTATATCTTTGAGTATTACATAATTAGAAACTATTATATGTGTAAGCATATTTTATTTTATTTTATTTATTTATTTTAGTGCCGATGATTGATTTATATCCTAAATACAATTTAACAATATCAAAAAAACTGCAAAAAAATGTAAGTGAAAAAGTGAAAAATAATAATCGTTTGAAATCAAAGTACTTTTATATAGGACATGTCACAAAGTCAATACGTTATAAAAGAAAGAATTATTAAGAGTTCAAAAATCTAAAATATTTCTAAGATGGATCCTATAGCTAAGTTAAATATATCTATAAATTAGTCATTTACCATAGTTAAATTTTTATATACAGTATATATTGCCTTAAATCTGGACAGATGAATGATACGTACAAAACCTAATTAAGAACCTATTACTGTCTGTGTTCTCTTCTGTGTCTGTGTTAATAGCAATTTGTCCTAAGTGAAACCCTATTACCAATTTCTTCGATCTGCATGAGGTATTGACTTTACCCAACAGTATACGAAACCATGCCAGTTAAACGTTCATTTGTATCACTTGATGTGGCAGGCCATTTTCTAAATCAAACGAAAATCTGTTCGTGAATTTTGAGCATTGCAAGAGTCAAAATGTTTTTTCTTTATATTAATATTTTCTGTTTGCTGATGTAGTAAGCGCCATTTAATTATAAGGATACGTTTTCATCTATCAGTGTCAAAAAATAAACTCTTTAAACAGTGATGTTAACGTGTATTCCGTGTGGTGACGGATTGAGAATACAAAGTGTTACCACCCCTATTCACCCCGTGGGTACATAAGTAGTGACTAAAGGAGCACTGCAAAGAGAAGGAACACTTGTCACAAACTCTATACCTCTAGGACATATCCCTCTCTTTCTTATGGAGAGGCCTATTTCCAGTAATAAACTATTAAAATTTGTTGATGATGATGATCGTGACAAAAGAACCCTTAAAATAGTTTACAAAAAGAAACTATTCATATGTTACAATTCTATTAGGAAGATTAGTTTTTTATATTTATTTTACGGTGAAATTGTGATAGCGGAGTATATGTCCTGCAAAAGATGGAGAAACATATAAATTACGCAGATAGGATAACAGGGAAAAGCAAAGTATGCTTCACAGAACTTTATTAAATGTTATTTCTTCCTGAGTAGTGCAAGGCAAAATATCTACAATAATTAATTTTTGGTATTTTTTCACCTCTAGGATCTACCAACATGAAACTGCTCATCGTGCTCGCCCTTGTTGCTTTGGCGGTAGCTCATCCCCATGGTGATCATTACAACACGAAATATGAGAGCATAGACGTTGACGTGATTCTTGAAAGCGATCGTTTAACTAAGGCATACATAAATTGCTTCACAAACAAAGCCAAATGTACTACCGAAGGAACTGAAATTAAAAGTAAGAAGAATTTTTTGAAAATAAATAATTTTTTAATTAAAAAAAGTGAAAGTTAGTTCTTATCGGTACTCAGCAGTACACTTGAAGTAAAACGTTCTTTATGGTTATCATCACGTTCCAATTACGTGAACATTTTCACCACAATATCTACAGCAAAATATTTTTACAGGTTATATCCCTGACGCGATAAATTCATCCTGCGCTAAGTGTACAGAAAAACAAAAGAAGCTCACGGCAAAATTCATCAAGGGAATTCAGTCTAAGTACGCAGACGACTACGCAGTCCTTTACAAGATCCACGACCCTGAAGCCAAGAACGGTGAAGAGCTCAAAAAATTCCTTAATACATACGGCGCTTAATCTGTGTAATAAATTATAACCATTTTTTCAACAAATCTATTGTCCACCATCATAATTTAAGATGTATTATACATTTTTCATTGATCAAAACAACAATTTTTTTAGTAAAGTTCAGCAGGAAAACGTTAAAATTGACTACACAATAGATAATAAATATTGTGACACATAATAGGTTATCATGTTATTTATTCCTACTCTCCATTTAGTTTATAATAAAATAAGAAAGCACTAATAAAACTTACACCTTATAGCGTGTTGGGTAAATCGCGTAAAAATAAATAAAAAAATGGGAACATTATAGAACAATCTACTTCAGGGAGTATCTTTAATATCTGCCTAATAGCCACTATTCCTTGTCAAAGTGGCAGCCATAGGAACGGCATTGAGAGTCCATATGCTCAAGCAGGCCCTCAATATCCGGATGGCGTGTCCTCCCGGACGCATCCTGTAGTGATCACCGCTTGATCGTGTACGAATTCATACCAAGGGTTGCACAGGATCCACAAAGGGCTCCCTATAATTTTAGATATAAAATTAAAGGTGTAAACTGGGCTTTGTTTGGTTCACTCTTTGCAACTCATACCAAAGACTTAAGTCGCAGTAGTTTATCAGCTGAAGAAAGCGCCGAAATACTATCAGAAACTTTCGCATACCGCGCTGATGTATCTATTGGTCGCGGATCTATCACTAACACTCGTAGATGTGATTGGTCGAATGATAAATAGCCGAACTACGTTGAAGCTACCGGAAAGCTCGTAGGAAATTAAACACTATTAAAAAACATTACGTAACAGGAGATTTGTACAATAATGCTCTCAAATCCAAGAGAAACTTCATTCAGAAACTTGTTGATAAACTCGATAGAGAGGGCCCGTGGTCACCTTTGTATCAAGAATTGAAGGCAAATAGATCAATCGACCTTGCATACATACAGAACATCAAAATTAATAACAGATGTACCACAGGAGTAGAACAAACAGCAAAATATCTTTTTGAATCACTCGTACCTGACGACCGGCCGGAAAACGACACTGATCATCACCGACAGATCAGGCAGTGGGCCATCGAACAACCACTGTCTCCAATGTCTGATTTACCATCTTCAGACGAATTTTTCAGTATATTTAGATCCTTACCGCTAAACAAGGCTTCGGGCGATGATGAAATATCTAACAAAATGATAAAAGAAGCTTGTAAACTTTCGGGTAACACGATTTTCTTTAAACGTTGCATTGCGGAAGGAATATTTCCTCGTATAAGGCGGTGCGGTAATATTCGTATAATACCAAGTGGCGACAAGCCACCGGATGATCCTAAATCCTACCGACCAATCACATTGTTACCATCGTTAGGAAAGCTTTTAGAACGTCTTGCAGTGCCCCGGCTTCTGCCAGGTGGAGTCAAATTTCATGATAGACAATTTTGATTTACGTTGGGCAAATCGACAACTGACGCTGTACATCGGTTAGAAAGTCTGTCACAGAGTCAAAATTTCACTAGGTGCTGGCTATTTTCTTTGATATATCTGGCGCTTTCGACAACGCATGGTGGCCCATGTTGTTGCTGAAATTAAAATGACGGGGGTGCTTTAAAAATATTTATTTCCTTATCTCTTCGTACTTTTCACAAGGAGCAACCAAACTAAGACTTGGTCATCATTCTGTGTCGAAGGCGCTTACAATGTGACGGCTTATTACTGGTGGAATCTGATACCAGGGCGGGGCTTGAGAGATTAGCCAATAGATGTTTGAACTTGATATCTCTATGGGGTGAACGTAATCGCTTTACTTTTGCACCCAACAAAACCTTTCATTTACTTTTAAAAGGTAACCTCAAATCACCGCCGAGCATTAAATTTGACAATGTCTCTGTAAAAAATAAAACCTTAGTGTATTATAGTTTTAGAAAGAAACTTTTTCCTAACCTATTAAAATAGTAAATGAAAAGTCTAAAAAGAGTTTCTGTGCATTGACAAGGATATCAACTGCGACATGGGGTCTATCATTTAATACATTAAAGATCATATACGGAGCTACTTATTTAGGTTCTATGTGCTATGGTGCACCTGTATGGGCCGATAGGGCGACCGTAGGCGCTGTCCGTCGCAAACTGTTACAAGGCCAACGACTTGCACTGATATTCTTGTGCAAGGCATATATGACGGTTAGCATTGAGGCTTTGCCGGTGTTGGCGGGTGTGCTTCCCGTCGATCTCGAGGTGCAGAAACGTGCAGCCATGTACTATTCAAGACAACCAAACATGAAATGCGATTTTTTGGGCGCAATTACAAGATTGCTTCAACAGCAGTCCGATGTCTATAATGACCTCATAGACGAATGGCCACAACGCTGGGAATCATCCAAGGGGCTCTATCTTTACCAGTTCTTGCCATCTGTTCGCGAATGGTTATCGAGGACATAGCTTGAGGTGGATCACTATATCGCTCAATTTCTTACGGGTCATGGTAACTTTAAGAGAAAGCTGTATTCATTTAAATTAGTCGAGTCACCATTGTGATGCTCAACACCTAACTCTCATTATGAACAGTCTGCTCATCATATCCTCTGGGAATGTAGTCTTTGGTATAATGAACGTAATATAATGCTGAATAGCTTGCAGGTGACATCTGGGGCGGTATACAATGGGGATCTTGTGTCAACTAGGGTGAATTTGACCACCTATTCTACTACCAAAACAGCGGCCAGCCCAAAGCAGAGTAGTGTTTTCTGTTCATAATTCCCTGGTACAAAATTTCTCTGGTCCCTGGTAAGTGATGAAGTACAGGCTTGCACAAATCATAAATTCATTATAGATTGATTTGGAGGCTGAGTAGATAGAGTTTACATCCTGCAAAACTGTTTGGAAAAAGAGGATCTTTTAAATAAAGTCATTCTTTAGTCTTTAATCGCAAGTACAATTATTTGAAATATTTGAAATCCACATAAATCAGATGTTAAAGCATTGTTTCAAAATATTGACCCTTATGATATTAGAACAGAAGCTTTGGAACAGATGTTTACGTGTTAAAATAGCTCTGTTTAATATTTTTACTTATAGGTAGTTAAAAATCCCTGTATTTCTTCATGTTTTAAATCCATATTAATTTTTTTGTATTTCTAATTTATAATTATGGTATACGAGCTTTAGCCCCGCAAATCCGCCCGCGTATGTGTCGATTATCACAGTAAAAATAGTACACAGTAGTCTTTTTTTTACAGGGTGTAAAAATCACTTCGGATCACCTGCCTCTCGGGGACTCAGTAGCTAGGAGTAAGTGGTAATTTCACTAAAAACCAACCCGCAGGCTGGCCGCACGCCCAGACTCTGGGAGGACCAGGACTATCTTATTACAGGTCCTTCCCGAATTGACACCATGATTGACCTACCCAAGCTTCGAGGTTAGGCAAAAAGGCACCGACAGCGCGTTCCACGGCTGTTCCAACTGCGCTCGCCACTCCACAAGTGCCTATAGGTGACCGTTCCGCCGTATTTATTTATTTATTTAATTCATTAACAATTTATTACAATTGTGTCTCAATATAATAATTTTTAAAAATTAATGTGAAACGAAATAAATTAAATTAAAAATAGGTACTTAATGCAAACTTAATGTCAGTTAGAATTGTCATGTCACAGGAAACAAAAATCACACAAGAATTATGTCCTTAACATGTCAATATGATTTTAATGTCAGTTACAAGATAAGTCAGTAAATTAATTAACAAAATAATAACAGTTTTGCAATAAGAACTCTTTAACTCTTTTTTTAAATATGTGTGTTTTATAGATTTCTATTTTTATTTGTGCTAGTAGGCAGTTTAATAGTTTCACACTTTGATAACGAGCACAATGCTTTGCTATATTTAAGGTCTGTAAAAAATTACTTCTCAAGTTCTTTCTTCGAGTACTTTCTCTAATTAAGCTTTCATTTTAAGTTTCAAAATCAGTCATGTATTTTGACAGTTGGCTTTATACAGTCAGTATGTATAGACAAGGTACTGTTAGTATGGATAGTTCTTTGAAATGCCCTCTCTAAGACTCCCACTGTGGCATTCGGACCATAGTTCTAATTGCCAATTTTTGTATTATGAAAGCCTTTTCACAATTATACTTGTAAATGTTACCCCAAGCTGAATACTGTATCTTAACCTTGATTCGACTACAGCATAATATACAGTCCTTCTGATATTGTTTCCTCAGTTGCGTATAGTTCTCTATGCCAATTCAGCAATGAGTCTAAATATACGCCTAAGAATTTGACTGTGTTTACATTTTCAATTTTGTCTCCCATTAATTGTATAGCCAAGCTACGTAGTTTTACATAAAAGCAGTATTACGGGCAGTATATTTGAACAAAATAATGTTTGTTTTTGAAGTATAAATTATTCAAGCTCAAATATCTTTATTTAATAAAAAAATTATTAAAATCCTCTCTTGACTCTAAAGTCATAGACCAACACACACAACAGCAACAATCTCGGTTTTGTCAAATATTTTCCTAACTAAATACATACGTATCGAAAATCTCTTATATGCCTGTGCTGATCTACAACCGCCCATTGCCAAAGGGTTGAGCCTCATCAGAAGAAAGGGCAAACAAACTCACGGCCACTCTTTTCAATCAACAGATAACAATGGCATTATTAAATATACACAACATTGTTTTGATGAGTGCCAGTATGTAAGTTTTAAGGACTAAAAGGTAAAAAGGGTCTGAAGAGAAAACAAGATATAGAAAAAATATGGAATAAAAAAAGAAAGTGAAGTAAAACGTAAAAAAAATGGAAAATTTAATAAAAGACACCCTAGCCCATATCACATTTCCACTACGAAATAGACTATGCTAATTTAATCCCAAGCATTCTTGTCTTCTTTATATTCCACGATTGAGTAATAGGCTGACACAGTTTACGTTTTAATGTGATACAACAAGTTTATTTCTATTTCTGGTATTAAAAGCATGTACATCACTGCTTTTCATAAAATAAAAGCTATCTTTG